CAGCCTTGTGCCTTTTACAAAGTGACAGCAGTAGATACACGGTACGTGGCGATCGTAGGTCCGTGTGCACTGTGCAGGAACTCATAACATCATCTGTGATGCTGATCAACTTGAACACGCCCCCGAAGATGGGCCATTAATGGACCGTGGTGAGTGGCGTCGATGGTTCTAACAGGCAAACCTTACGATACTAATGATACATTGTTCAAGGCAGAGTTGGAAGAGGTATCGATCGTCCCAGCACTGAGGCGTTGGCAACGACGGTGACCTCGGTCTCTGGGCCCATGTGCAATGCTCGCCTCCGTCGCGCCTTGAACAGCTTGCGCAGTAAAAACAGATGAGGGGTGACATCACTAAAACATAGTTATCAGCATCGTTGCGATCCAAGGACCAGACGATTACCCCGTGAGGCAAGTGCACGCCCACATGACCGCGTTTGCTCTCCAGATCTAACCCCCATTGCGCTGCACACAGCCTACAGGACGACCTCCATCAGTGCACCCGCCTCTCATCAGCCTGTAACTATACTCGCGCTCTAATGCTCTGTCTTGATCGCCCGTAGCGTCTCTACGCACAGCATCGGGATTACCTATGTTTCACAGAGGAGATCGCACATGCGGCATGGTTCCTCCGCCTAGCGGTGATATATAAACCTCGGGCTGCGCTCAACCTAAGTCCTCATTCTCTTTTCGTCTTCCCTTCCAGTCTTTGTTTCCTTCGAGCTGTGCTCGGACTCGTTCTTCACTTTATTTTCCTCTCATTTTCAGGCAGTGTTCTCTCAGCTTTTCATTACGATCCTTCATTATGGTCAACTTCTCCACATCCCTCGTCCTTGCTCTCTCTGCGATTGCTGTGAGCGCAGTACCGCTCGAGAAGCGGATCGCTCAGACGATCTCTGCTTCCACGCAGAAGTGGGTCGCTGCTTGTGTGCGTACCCTCTCCCTCTCCCCAGCTCGCACATACTGACACTAGTTGGCCGTGTCACAGAACGCAGCTGGCGGTGCAGACCAGTGCAGCAACATCTCAGTTACTGCCTTCTCCACCCTGCTCGCCGCGGCCGGGCCTTGCGACCAGCAGAACTCGGCGGACGCCATGATCACCCTGGCCAAGACGCTGAACAATGATCCGGACATGATCAAGTTCGCCCAGATCTTTGCCCAGCAGCCGCGCAACACGGTATGCCATACATCTGCTCTCGTTGACCACCGCCCTTAACGATCTTTCGTGACACATAGCCCACCAGCGAGTCTGTGCAGTACTGCCAGCAGGCGCCGAAGAACGCAGAGCTCAACGGCCTATTCCAGTGCCAGTTCCAGGGCGCGAAGGCAACCACCTTCGTCGGCGGTGTTGCCGTCGGCGCAGCGGGCACCATTCCCTTCGGCCAGACCACCCCCCTCTCGCCCGCTGGCTCGTGCCCTGCGAACCCGACCGGCCCCATCCCCGATGGCCAGCAGCTCAGCGACATCACCCAGGACCCCGGTCTCGCGAACGTCAAGGGTGGATCTAGCGCCGCGGCGCCCCCTGCGGCGTCCTCCGCGCCTCCCTCTGCGTCCTCTGCTGTCGCCGCTTCATCTGCAGCGCCCCCCGCTGCCTCGTCCGCGGCGCCTCCCGCTGCCACGACTGCGGTGGCATCATCGGCGGCGGCGGCGCCCCCTGCGTCAACCTGCGCTGTCAAGAAGCGGCGCGGTGCGATGAAAAAGCGCATTGCCCAGGACACCGTCGCGTCTGCGACTCCTTGGGAGGATGCCTGCGTACGTATCATCAATGACCTCCCCCGGAACGCATGTGCTCATCGCTCGATCCTGATGCAGACCAAGGCCGGTGGCGCTGATAAGTGCAACCCCATCGCGGTCACCGCGTTCAGCACGCTCCTCGCGGCGGCGGACCCTTGCGCCCAGCAGGACTCCGCAGACGCGATGATCGACCTCGCGAAGCAGCTCAACAACGATGCGGACATGATTAGGCTCGCGCAGATCTTCGCCCAGCAGCCCCGTAACACGGTACGCATCTATCTCACTTCCTTCGACACAATCTGTCGTCGTTGCTGATAGCCCTCTCCCGCATACAGCCCACGTCGCAGGCTGTCGTGTACTGCCAGAAGGCGCCGAAGAACGCCGAGCTCCAGGGCCTCTTCCAGTGCCAGTTCCAGGGCGCGTCGCAGACCACGTTTGTCGGCGGTCTCGCTGTCGGCGCCCCGGGCACGATCCCCTTCGGCCTCACCGCGGCTGTTAGCCCCGCGGGCTCATGCCCGGCGAGCCCCGCCGGCCCGATTTCTGACGGCAAGCAGCTCGTCGACATCACGCAGCAGCCCAAGGCGACTGGTGGTGCCGCCGCTGCCGGTGGCGACAACTCTGCGACCGGCGGCGCCGCGGACTGCGCCGAGGAGTGAGCGGATCTCGAGTGTGGGTGCTGGACGACGGCCGCGTCGGCTCGCTGATGCGGCTCGTGTTTGACGTGGAGTCTCAGAGGTGGAGGATATTTATTCTTGATTAAGCTGTTGCCTGTGGGGTTGATGCTTTGTGTTGACGAGTTGGATACGGGATTGGTTGTTACGTGACGAACCTCCGAGATGCATGTCCCCTACCGGGACGACGATGTAGCATACTTACTACGATGTCATGTAGTGTAGGCTGTATCGGAATGACATGCGCTATGTTATTCTGCCTTGCGTGGATGCTCGTCCAGTGGAGAGGCGAGCGTTAGCTTAGACGCGTATGTCAATGATTTTCATCACCACCACACCGAGCCAAAGCCAGACCCCACGAAATCTTTACAATGCGAACTACTCCCGGTCCTTGTCGATTAGTGGTTAGATCATCACGTTGTGGAAACACAGAACCGTGAAGACGGAAGCTCGAATCCTCCCTGGGACAGATTTTTTGGTAATTGTACATCTATATTGCTCACGCAGGATCATCCTGCTCAGTTACGGGACCCTCAGAATGCGAGAGGAAGTTTGGATGTGGAAGACACTCCGTCATAATTGAAATACGTTGAATTATCGAGTGCGGTACATGTAGTATGGATATAGCAGCGACACAGCGAAGCATCATCGCGCAACCCCTCGAACCCTATGCGAAAAGGCGACGCCGTAACCCGGACATGTCATGACCGACCCTGCGCCCCCGACCCACTCTGTACCGCCGTACCAGCCGACCCAGGCGCGAGCGCAGCAGGCGCGCTCGCATACGCCTGCAGCTGGGCAGGACGGTCCTGCGCCGGTCCCTGGTACCCAGCTTGACTCGAGAGCAGCGCGCGGTACGACGTCGCGGAGGCGTGCGAGGACCAGAACGAGTCGTACGTGAGTCCTGCGCCCGGGCCGGGGCTGGTGCTGGTGCCGGGCGCGGCGCCGGAGGCGGGCGCGGTGGCGGGCGCGGCCTGTGGAGGCGGGAGGGGTATGGGCATGGCGGAGGTGGTCATCATGGAGCGGAGCGCGGCGAGCTGCGAGTCGATGTGCTCTGTCGGCTCCATCGGGTCGAACGGTTCTCGGAACGGGGACGCTGTGGGTAGTTGGGGGACCAGGTGGGCGGAGAAAGAGGTGGAGGGGGTCGCGTGATGAGGGTGGTTCGGCTTGTGTTGTAGACTAGGAGCGGATTCGATGATTACTGTCGCTGTCGAATCCGAGCGGGAGACGGGGTAGCGGGTGACGGTATGGCCGAGGCCTAAGTGCGGGGCGTGGGGAGTCGTGGTACGACCGTCGAGGTTGGGCGTGGACGGAACGGAGGCGTTTACGGGAGTATCAATACTCGAACTAGATGCTATTCGAGTTGAGTGAGAGACAGTCACAGTGAACCAGGATGAAGAGACCTTACATGTGCTCGCTAGGCTTGCGTTCGGCCGTAGACCCGCGCCTGTGCCGGAGATAAAATGTGCGCTTCCTTGTGAAGCTAGTGTGTCCATATTATGCGCATCTGTCGACGACGCGAGATGGTGTGCGGAGCTGCTTGCTGCTGCGGCCGTAGAGGACAAAGTCCGCCCATTCCGGCGACCCCCAGGGGAGATGACGGGATATGGCCGCGTCAGGTGCGTATGTCGGAAGTAGAGGTTCTCAACCTCGCTCAGTGATTGTTTTTGCTGAGATATGCATGAGCACTTCGTGGGCTGCCCAAAGTGCAGGCGCGTACATACCCATCCGTGCTCGACTTTCAGCCTAGCGTATTGCAGGCGCAAACGTAGTTGGCCGGAGAGCTACGCAGATGTTCCCCCCTTTAGGTGACTTCGGATGCTCAGTAACGCGACGTACATAGTTTGCCTTCGCTTTATCCAGGGAACCCTTCATCCTGTCTCCTTTTGCTTGCGACGCGTCGGGTGCCTCTCCCTCGAGCTTGCGCCTCTTCGAATCGGGTGGAAGCAGGAGGCCGTACTGAGATTGCTCAGACATACGTGCAGAGTACGCGATTTGTTCTTGACGCGAGGCGAGGGAATATCACAAGATCGAGGACGGCGGGAGGAGGCGGGGGAGGTCGGGGAGAGAGGTGCAGTGTGCTGCATCGCGGTAACCGTCGCGAAAACATGGGCGTGTTAAGTCACGTGGAATGCCGCCCCGGCCTAGGCCCTAACCCGAGCATTGAGTGTGACGTCCGATATGGCAATGATAGTTAGTATCAGCCTTTCTTCCTTTCCACTTGCCTCCCATCCCCTATGAGCCCACATCACAATGTAGCGCAATAAAGGTACTTACGTTGCAGTACCGCTGTTGGGCACTGGTCACGAAACCTGAGTAGAGCGGGAAGTGTTTGTTAGAACTTTTGGACACCCAAGCCCACTGTGGTGACGCTTGCCCTCCCTTGTGTCGTGCTAGCCTATTACACTTCAAACTTCAAGAAGCGCAGTATTTTCGTTAATGATTTATCATAGCATGTGCTCGCGATGAACTGAGCCATCGCTTAAGGCGCAGTGTTGCTTGATCTCACCGCAACCATGCGGCATGGCGCTAGCATATCCTTTGGAAAGCTCAATTCTGCACTGGTTGTGAATGCGCCAGAGAATCACACATTCATGGCGATATGGCCGAGCGGTCTAAGGCGCCAGACTAAGGTGATCTTCTCATCCTCCAGGATTTGAACATACGCTCGCTATCTGGTCCGAAAGGGCGTGGGTTCGAATCCCACTGTCGTCACAATCTTTTGGCCACAGAGCCCTTGGAACATTGTTTTTGAACACTTGGAACAAATGTTTAGCCAGGATACTGTCTTCCAGTTTGATCGCGGTCGGAGACATTATCTTATGACCGTCCTGCAGCCTCACAACCATCAGTCAATGTATAAGATTCAGTACTATTGAATGGCTAGTGAGTCGTAGTGTCCTGCCTCATCCAGCTCCATGCTAATGTTGCAGATGTGCGAAGAGTCGGACGATCGAGTGACGCTGGCGTTCAGTAGACACGTGGGCACCATATACCAAATGACACCAACCGGTTGTGAGTGCTCGCAAGATACTAATAACAAGTCTCCGTTAGTATATCGGTTAGTACACGCGCCTGTCACTCTGCGGTGCGCGCGAAAGCGGGGTTCGACTCCCCGACAGAGAGGCACGTTTTTTCCCGTTCCGCCAACCTTTCGTCTCGGGTCCGGGCCCGTCTGGCGTTGCGCTACTCTCACTCCTCCCTTCACTCTACACTACCCCGTCGTTGCCGTGGACGTCGTCTAGCTCCTCTGTGACAGCTATGCTTCGCACAGCGTCCGCCCGGGCACTTCCCCGTCAACCGCTGTCTCCAGGATTTGCTGTTCGCCGTGCTGCGTCGACCGCGGCTCAACAACCTGCTCCTTCCTATGCTCGTACGGCGGCCTATGCTTCACTCTTCGTGGTCTCGACGGGTCTCTTTGCGGTCTACTATCTCGACTGCCGTGCCTCTTTGCACAAATACATCGTGACACCGGTGCTACGCTACACACTTGATCCTGAGGCAGGCCACCGACTTGCGGTAAGGGTGCTTGGGTCCGGTCTTGCTCCCCGTGACTCCTTGCCAGATGACGAGGTTTTGAAATCCGAGGTACGTGCGTGCTGCATGTCCGTGTGGAAAGCACAATGCAGACGCGGGGGAATTCTAGCTCTGGGGCGAGGAGCTCTCGAGCCCGGTTGGCCTAGCAGCTGGTTTTGACAAGAACGGTGAAGCTATCGACGGTACGCCTGCCCTCCTCTCTTAACGTGCCTTTGTGACCTTGATTACAGGCCTGTTCAACCTGGGCTTCTCCTGGGTGGAGATTGGCAGCGTTACACCAAAGCCTCAGCCAGGCAACCCCAAACCCCGCGTGTTCCACCTCCCCAATGACGACGCACTCATCAACCGGTATGGGTTCCCTTCGGACGGACATGCCGCTCTGCTCGGCCGTCTCCGCGCACGGCTCCCGTCCCTCCTTCCGTATTCCTCGGCGGCGGAAGCGGACGACCCGCTACACGGCGCAGAGCATGCCTCACTATATCCGGGCAAGTTGCTCGCTGTGAACCTGGGCAAGAACAAGTCTTCCCCTCCGGACTCCATCGCGGACTTTGTCACGGGCGTGCGCACTTTTGGTCCATATGCCGACGCGCTGGTCGTGAATGTGTCAAGTCCCAATACTCCCGGGCTTCGGTATGTTTTTGCAGACAGACGCTGCGACAAACTTCTCATTTGTATACCAGAGGTATGCAGAGTCGCTCTCTGCTCCAAGAACTGCTTGCAGGGGTCACGGCAGCCCGAGACGAAGTCACTACCGCCTCAGCCAACAGCCGCCGACCAAAGATCCTGCTCAAAATTGCCCCCGACTTGACGGAGTCGGAGGTGGCAGACATCGCCGCTGCGGTACTCGCCACTTCCGGTGTGGACGGCGTGATCGTGAGCAACACGACCGTGCGGCGTCCTACGAGCGTGTCAGATCGTATGTGCACCTACCACCTTTTGGGCAACACGCACTGACAAGCGCTGCAGCAAACAAGTTCGAGCAGGGCGGGCTCTCCGGGCCCCCGCTGAAGCCGTACGCGCTCGCCACCCTGCGCACTCTGCGTGGCCTCCTCCCGGCCTCCGTCCCGCTCATCGGTTGCGGCGGCATTGCCTCGGGCGCCGACGCGCTGGAGTATGCGCGCGCAGGCGCATCCGCGGTCCAGCTGTACACATCCTTCGGATACGGAGGCCCGGGCGTGTGCCGGCAGGTGAAGGACGAGCTCACGGCACTCCTCCGGCAAGAGGGCACGACATGGGCACAGGTCGTGCGCGAGTCCGTCGCGCAGCACAGCCTGAAGGACGCGCCGAAGGAGAAGGAGGTAGAAGTGCCGCGCGAGCCGAGCGTGCGGCTCCTCGTGGAGGAGGCGGAGGAGCTCAAGCGACTGCTGGACGGGCTAGGGGAGCGGATCGAGAAGGAGACGGAGGGCGTGAGTATCGCGGGAGACGTGCAGTACGTCGCTGTAACTCCCAGTCCGACTGATTCATGACAGCCCGAATCAATCGAGTTGTTCGTATGGAGTGCGCGAGCCAGTACGAGTGTACACCCGCGGTTTTAGACGTGACCAGAGCGCGTCCGTGCTAACTTATGATAGCTGAGGCCTGCGTCTGTATCCGCTTACATGTTTCCTCGCTAGAAAGCGGACGGGTCTACAAGGAGTGTGCTCAAGGTACGCAGCGTGTGCCATACATTTTGTGGTGCTTTGAATGCATTGCCGATATCACACACAAGTTACCCGTCAATTGCCCAAATTATGATCTACGGTCGCAAGACTACCCAAGTGAATGTCCAAGACAGCCGTTATGCCTCCCGTGGATCTCCGATCGCAAACCAAGCACATACACCTATCCGGGAGAAACTGTGAGTGAGAGCTTGGCTCGAGGTTGAGGCAGAAGAATGGCGACATGCGACGTACCGTTCATCCCGTGTCAGTTGAGAAGAGCGAAGGTGTTGAAGGTGCCGCCATTGATGTTGAAACACGTGTTGGGCGTCGGGAGCTCCAGGATACTCGCGCATCCAGAAGTGCCCACGCTGGGCGTGAACGAGAGGCCGAGCTGGTTTGTCACGACGTACGCGGCGGAGACGAACGTGAGACCCGCCGGGAAGCAGGTGTCCGTGAGCAGGTCCACCATGTCGAACACATTGCACGCTTGACAGTTGGTTCCGGAGCAGAGGAGCAATATGGGGTCGATCGCGTCGGCCCGTAGGGTCGTGTTATTGCGCAGGCTGCTGAGTGGGAGGGAGACGGACGCGGCGCTGGGAGGACCGAGCTGGACGACGGGGAGGGAGGCCCCGATTGCTGCCAGGTCGGGAGTGACAGGAGTAGCGACGACGGAATGGCCGAAGAGGGCGAAGACAATGGCGGCGAGGGAGTAGCGCATTGGAGGAGGCAGTTCGAGGTATGGAATGTGGTCTTTTGGAAGCGATCTCGTTCTGATAATTTGCTCCCAAATACTTAGAACTTATGCCGTACCGCTCACCCCGGACAACACGACGCTTACGAACATACACGCACTGCGCCTGCGGCAGTAGCGGCCTAGGCTCTACGGCCATGATGCCGAGACTTCAAAAGTCGGAGTTGCACCAACAATGGCTCTGTCGCTGCACATGGCTGCACGCGCTCCGGGGCGAGTCAGAAAAATGAAAGGCACAAGAAGCATGACCGGCGGCTCGCCTGCGCGAGCGGGTGTAGAGAAAACTGTCCGTTGTTCTCGGCTTAGTGGGAACGGCGAAGCCGACGTCTGATTGGCAGGATGCGCCCGCTCCTGACAGCGTCCGATGGGAGGAGCATCGGATATGCTTTTTAAAGCGCAGCCTGCATCTCGTGGATGTCTCTTAATGACAGGCGTGAGGTTGCGTACCTTCAACAAACGCGGGGGTCTCGGAAGATTTTTAAGGATTCGTCCTTTACGTCTCGTAGCTCGGGCCGCGTATACTCATCAACCAGGAGGGCGATGTGCGGTTGCGTAACACCAATCGCGTTAGAAAGACGAGCTGCAAGCGTTGGATTCCGCGCCCCATAAGGACCTACGATAATACTAATAGAATCGTCCAAACAAACCCGCGTCCGTCTTCTACTTGACTCCGGGCTGTTCGTTGTATTCAGCCATGGAAGTGTGTCTATGCATAGAGAGCCGTGAGTGAGATGCTTTCATGTCTTAGTGCAGGGCGTACCTTGGTAGCTCATATCAGAAGGGCAAAAGCTGCGAATGTGGAGCCAGCGACATTGAAACATGTGTTGATATCCGGGAGGGCAAGGCACTGCGTGCAGCCCGCGGTGCATACGGTCGTGTTGAACGGAAGGGAATCCGCATTAGGCTGGATGACCGCCGCGGAGACGAACTGGAAGTTCTCCGCGAAGCAAGCGTCCGCGTTCAGCCCCATGAGGTCGACGAGGTCGCAGTTTTGGCAGCCCGAAGCCCTGCAGAGGAGCAGCACGATGTCGATCTCGTCTGGGTGCGGCCCCACGCTCGGGCGTAAGGTGCTGGGTGGGAGCGCGACGCTCGGAGACCCGAGAGAGGACGCATCGAGCTCGGCGAGGGGGAGAGGGCCGACGATTGTTGACACCTCGGTGGACACGGGGGTGGCGATGACGGTCTGAGTGAGGAGGGCGACCTGAGCGATAGCGGCGAAGGAGAAGCGCATCGTGTTCGGGCTGGTAAGACGTATGCCAATGAACGTTCCGGGGGCGAGTTCGTCTGTACAATCTGCAAACGTGGTCTTTATGTCGTACGGACGCTCATCCCGGATAACGCGAAGCTTACATGTATAGTGTGCACTACTGCTAAGACATTAGTAGCTCTAGACTCGATGGCAGCAGCACGGCGCTCGACCAGCCTCATGGTGCTGACGGAAGAAGGCGGCTCTGAGTCGAAAGGCGGAGTCGTGGACCATGCGGTTCTGCCGCATATGGAACAAGGAAGTCAAGCAAATGAAAGGCACGAGAAGGTCATTTGGAGGCTCACTTGTACGTGCGGATGTGAAGGCGATGCATGGCGCCTGTGATCGGCTCATTATGAGCTTTGGCGAAGCCGACCTTTGATTGACAGGATGCGCCCGCTGAATCCTGACAGCGTCTGGAGCATCGGGTACACGAGCGTCAGGCACCCTGGGAGGGAGTTCGAACGACCTGCTCGCAGATCGTTTGGTTAGATTCTCCACGGGTAGAGTAGTGGCAGCACTTCATCCGACGCTACAGGAT